ATTCAGTGCCCTAATCCCCATGCCACCTGCTGGCCCTTTAGGGACCAGCAGGTGGCATAGTGGTTAAGGTGCTGAACACTCCCCCATGGCTGAACACGGTTCAAGTCCCAGACCTGGTTGCCTGCTTTCTCACTTTCCCAATCTCTCTCTCTCTCTCTCTCTCTCCATATATATATGAATGAACAAATAAAATTAAATAAATAATTCTTTTTAAAAAATGACGTTTTTTTATTTAAATTTTTATTTTTAGAGGTTTTTGCCTTAGAGTATGTGCAGTGGCCAGAGAGAGACAGGGACAGAGACAGTGAAAGGGATAGTAAGAAATTACCCCTGCAATCAGGGGGAATGGCCACACCACAGTTCCTTCTCTATTCTCCTTCCGGGATGTTGAGATGCATGCACATACACCCAGAGTGATTTTCAAGCCACCAGGTCCAGGACTCGAATCGTAGTCAGTCATGTAGGAGTCCAGTGACATAACTGTTACACCAAAAGAAATGATTAAGAATCAGTTATTTTTGTTACTTTTATTAGTTAAGTACATTTTAAACTTGTTTTTTAATTTTTCAGAATATTAGTCTCTACTCTAGCTGCCTCATATAAATGAGGATGATTTTCTTTTATAAAGTTTCTCAAGAAGTTGGGACCAGAAGCTGGCATAATGGCTATGTTGCTGGACTCTCATGTAGTTGACCACGGTTCGAGTCCTGGACCTGGTGGCTTAAATTCATGCCAGGTACATATGTGTGCGTGGCCAAGATCCCAAGAGGAGAATGGAGAAGGGATTACAGTGTGGTCATTCTCCCCAGGGGGATGATTTCTCCCTTTCTGTCTGTCTCTCTCTTTCTTTCTAGCAAGCCCACATACCCTACAGAAAAAAACCTCTAAAAAAAAAAAAGAAAGAAAGAAAACAAGAAATAAAAGATGGAACCAGTAGATGGAACCATTAGTGGCTTAAAACTCATGCAGGGTGCATGTGTGTGCATGCCCAAAATCCTGAGAGAAGAATGGAGAAGAAAGAACTGCAGTATGACCATCCTCCCAGGGAGTGATTTCTCATTTTCTGTTTCTTCATCTCTCTCTGTCTCTCTGGCAAGTGCATATGTCCTACAGTAAAAATCTCTTCCAAAAAAAAAAAAAAAGAAGTATAAGATGATTTTGTAGCTTAGAAAAAATGCAGATAAAACTTGGCAGGATTATTATAGATGTCATTCAAAACTCATTATCAATAGAGAAGAATAACTAAAAAGAAACACAGGTTAAGCAAGAATATATAAATCTATTTTAAACTCCAAGGAGAAGTTTTTAAGATCAGAGACTTCTGAAACACTTAGGCCTTGGTTACAATTTGTATTTCTGTTAGTGGTGATAGGATGGAAGAAAGGGGGGAGAGAACAGAATAATTGACAGTAACCTCTCAGAAGAAAGGAAAGTCTACCATACTTTAAAAAAGGTCAAGATCAAGAAGAAATGAAGAATATTAGAGTGAGAATTAATTGGAGAAAGCTTTTTTTTTCTGTTTTTCATTTTGTTTTGTTTTATTTTGTTTTGTCATAGGGTCCATGTGCTTGTTGGAGGGAGACAGAGAGAGAAACGGAGAGGGAAATCACATTCCTATTGGGGATGGCCACACCACAATCCCTTTTCCTCCATTCTCCTCTTGGGATTTTGGACATGAATAAATACATGCCCCATCCAAGCCACCAGGTCCAGGACTCAAATTGTGGCCAGTCATATGGAAGATTAACCACCATGCTGAAAACTTTTTTCTTAAAAAAAAAATCACACTTGGTGCCACTTTGCAAGTCATGTCTATGTTTATCTTTCTTCAAAGATGCCCCTTTAACTGAGCTTATGTGATCAAAACAGCATCAACCTCTGATCATTTTGGTGTGCTATGTCTTTTGGATAAGTTTCTATATTAAATTCATAACTTCATAAGATATTTTTAAAAATAATTATTTATTTGATTTTACTTGTTATCATTATTTTTTAATTTGACCAGAGAGAGACAGACAGGGAGAGAGAGAGAAAGAGGGAAAGTCAGAAAGCAAGCCATTAGGTCCAGGACTTAAACCATGGTCGGCCATGTGGAAGTCCAGCGCCTCATCCACCATGCCACCTGCCATACCCTTTATAAGATATTTTAAATATCTCTCCCTCTGTTTCTGTGTTTGTCTGTGTGTGTGTGTATGGGTTATGTGATTCATTCATTCACCTATTTATTCTTCCATTCAGCATATCATTAGCAGTCTCCTTTGATGTTCCAGGCACACTTTTAAGTGTTGAGGAAGCAGTAGTGCACAGCACAGACAAATTGTTTGCCACATGGTGTTTACATTCTACTGGAGTGAAAGAACATAAACAATACGTAAATACTGCATAAAAGCAGCATATAGTAATATATAATACTATATCAGAGTCAGGTGAATTCGGATTACTGTAAAGTTTCTGTGAAACATGATAGCAAGATGGCTTTAAAATATTTCATAGTTTTAAAAAGTAAGTATGAAAACTTTAGAAAAATACAAGAAAGAAACTCAAGTCCTTTTGTCAAATAGAAAGTTTACCTATAATTTCATCACATTATTCTGTGACCTTACAAATTTGACAATTG